GCGGCGATGCCACGAGTTCGCAGGAGGAGAGCGATCTGGCGGAGGCGTTCAATGTGTTCGACGAGGACGGCGACGGATTCATATCCGCGTGGGAGTTACAGGTGATCATCATATCGCGTTAAAGGAACGCAGATCGATCCAGTTCAAAATTGATCGAATAAATTTCTCTAAAATTTCTATCGTAAATCAATCCAAATCACAAATTGATCGATCGATCTTATTTCATAACTGCAGGTGGTGCTAGCGAAGCTGGGAATGCAGGAAGAAGGAAGGGAGATGGAGAGAGTGGAGGAGATGATCTCATCCGTCGATCAAAACGACGACGGCCGCGTCGATTTCCGCGAGTTCAAGGATATGATGCGCAGCGTCATTGGCCGCACTTAATACGGTGTATTTTTTTTTAATGTCCGCTCCGATCCTCAAGGCGGCGGAGCAGCCTTTTCTATCAAATCTAAGCTACACGCGGAATACTCCGTACGCCGTAATGTTTATCTCCTTCCATTCTTCATCAAAATTCATTGGGCGTGGAGCTCAATGAGTGGATTCAAATGGAATTAATTAAAGATAATTGTATTTTCCATTGATGCATGGGTTGATTCTTCTACCACCGTACCGTAGGTCAGGCTTGACTTTTTATATTCTTTCTCTCTATCCATCTATCCCAAAATTATCTTTCCATTTTTTTTCTTATTTAAAGATTTTTAATTTTAATCATAAAATATATATATAAAAAATAAGTTTTATAAATATCATATTTTTATAATATAGAATTATATATAAAAACACATTAATGCTCAAAATAGTGTTTTGAAGACATTGAAAAAATAAATATAAAGATAATTCTGGGACACACGGATTAACACATTCAACCTTTGATCTATATTTAAATAAAATTTGTTTCATTCTTCCTTTAAAACCTTCGTCTCTCTCTTTTTCTTTGTTCCAAAAGTCTTTTGGGAGAAAGACTAAAATATTGAAAATATATCAAAATAGGACTTCCATATTTTTATTTTCGAAATAGGACTTACATTACCAAACATGGTCATGTACATTATCAAAAAAAGTATAGTAATCTGCACATGTTCAATGCCACATTACCAAATGTAAAGTCGTATTTCAAGGGAAAAAAATATGAAAGTCCTATTTAAATACTTTCTCTATGTTTTAGTCCTATTTAGGGTGATTTCTAAAGTCTTTTTTACTTTCTATTAAAGAACCATTTTTGTATTTATTAATCACACATATGCCATGATATCTATCCACTAATAATCTACTCGTCACAACCTATTTTTATCTATCACATATTTTTTGAAAGTCAACACAAAAATATTCAGTCTTTAAATTCATTAAAAGTCTAAAAGAGAAAAGTTTTAAGGAATGGATGGAATATTCGATATACTCCGTGTTAATTAGATAAAATAATGTTATAAAAATACTTTATAAAATAAATTTAATAAAATAATGTCTGTATTAATATCGAATATCAACTTTATTCAATTAATGGTTAAAATATATCAATTTTGAGTGAAAATTAAAATGGGGCAAATATACTACAAAATTCAATTACAAATGGATATTATTTGAATTCCATTGTTTATATCTAGTTTATAAATAGGTGTGAATATGGTAAGTAACATAGATATTTGATCTATTTTGGGATCGCATGTAGTTTTACCCTAATCTCGCATTAGTATGATATTTTCTGCATTGAGATGTGATCTCACGATTTTTTTGGATACCTCACAAAAGATCTCATACTAATGAGATGAATTGAACATATTTATTTTGGTTTGATTCCTTCACTTTCTCGGTTGTGTCAGAACCTATCCTCAAAACCAACAATCACGCAATTCGTTACCTCCCCGCCAATAATTATTCGTTTTTTGATTTCTTCCATCTCGCACTATGGCAACAATCTTCCGGAGCATGCCATCTGACCCCCTATTTTTCACATCAAAAAGACTTTTGACATAATGCATCAAGGTTCCTAGGGTCGTGTTGGTACACTTTTTACTTCCCACAACACAAGGAATTCTTTCGGTCTTTCTAAGGTCCGCCGCCGTCAAATCCAAGAATTCTACATGTCGTAGTCTACCACTCTGAACTAGAACTCAAATACGACACATTGAGACTGCGTGTATCCTCAATCCAACCACGCATTATTATGATATTGTCCACTCAAGGTCGACTCCTCACATATTTTTTTTGGGCACCTACACAATTCGTTACCTTCCCGCTAGCAATTATCAGTTTTTTTGATTTGTTCCATCTTGCACTATCCAATAATCTTTCGGGGCACGCCATTCGACCCCCTTTTTTCATGTCAGAAGAACTTCTGACATAATGCATCAAGGTTCCTAAGTGCCTATGTAACGCCATGAGTTGGATACCCAAATTTATTTGGTTATCCAACTCGCGGTGTTAACTGGTCTAACTTTTTGAAACGATAATTGGAGCATCACACAAAAACTTTATTCATTACTACTAATAATATTGGAGTAATATTATACATGCGGAAGCTTAAAACTTGATAACATAAAAAAGGTTATATTGTCATAACATGTCTTATTCATATGTATTATTAGTAGTAGTAGTCCTATTGGGATCCATCCATCTGATCCTTCTAGTATCAATGCTGTTATTCAGTAAGTTTGTCAGTTTCTATCTGTGTACCTAAAAATGTAGTCAACCCAGTCAGCAAAAGCTGAGTGGTACCAATTATAACAATAAGTACAAAATATAATAACGTAAACATATACCTTTCATAAAAATTTTTACAGTAATAATATAAACACATTTTTATATGAAACTCTAGCAGTCAGAAAATCAACTTTTTCTTTTCTTATATTCATGTTTAACTCGGACTTCAAATACTTAGATGTAACACCCTAATCCGTCCAGGTCTGCAGCCCCTTTCAGACTAAAGAATAAATTTGGTAATCGTAAAATTTAAAACATTTCAATTAATTATTTTATGTCTTTATGATAATAATTTAAATCCACACATCCATCTCGACCACCTCGCCCCATCTGCCTCCGGGAAATCATCACTTCATTCTTTTTGTTTACATGTGTGTAGCAAATAAAACATACAACATGCTCAGCGGTAAAGCTGAGTAAGGATATCTAATGCGTCGTACATCCATATAAATTAAATTTCAATTCATAATAAAATAATTTGATATCATGAACATAATGTTCAGTTCAGACATTCAATAATCAATATTCAACACTCATATTCATATTCAACATTAATCAACAATATCCTTAAACTATTCTTATTCTAAGGCCAATTTCTTAAATGTTTACCAACTCTTAAACGAATTCTAGTTTAAGATATTTCTAACCAATTCCTAAACTATATTCTAGTTTAAGGTACTCCTAACCAAATCTTAAGCTATGCTAGTTTAAGGTACAATTTTTAAAAAAGGTTTTCCAATTCTTAAACTAGCCTTCGCTTAAGGTACAATCCAGAAACCGAACAACGGAATGCTCACTATCATGTTGGGTGGTATCCCCAAACAAGTGATACTCAAGTTTGGTTTGAGAATCCCCTACGTACGTCTTTACCCATGCCACCAAATATTCTTAATTGTGTCCGCAAGGCCTATTTCTAATCTATCTTAGAGGTCAAAAAATAAAAAATTAACAAAAATGAGAAAAATAACTAAAATCACACAAATTAATGAAATAAATAAGGTAATCGATAGAAATTAACCTAAGATTGCTAAGAAATAAATAAAAATTTATGGAATGTTGGGTTTTAACATTTTACTCGCTATATAGAGCATTAATGTATCACTTCTTATTTTTAGGAAAAATTATCTAGAATAATCTCTACTTTACGTCTTTACCCATTCTTTCAAGAAGTAAGTAGTACATTAATACTCTATATAGTGTGTAAAATGTTAGAACGCTCCACTTCTATTGATTACTTTATCTATATCATTAATTTTGTATGTTTTAGTCAATTTTCTCAATTTTGTTATTTTTAATATCTATTTTTTATTTTTTCTAAGGTATGACTAATCTTTAAAGAAAGAAAAAGAAATGAAGGTAGAAAGTCATTTTAAAAATCTAAATTGAAATTTAAAATTATCCCAACTTTCATTTTGTTGTGCAAAAGAGGTCGTTTCCGTTAACCAGAAGTTAGAAACTTAACGGTGACCCAAAACTCGCATGTTTCAGTAAAGTTGAGATTATTAATGCATCCGAATGAAAGGTCTATTTTTAAAAGACTGGATAAAGTTGGGGTTATTTTGATTAGTTTTTCCTAATATAAAAATACACGTAAATAAGGTTTTTAAAGTTTTTTTTTTTAAGATTTTCCATTTTTTCTAGTTTTTCCAGTTCTTTCTAGTTTATTTCAGTTCCTTCCAGGTTTTCTAGTTTTTTGTAATTTCTTCTAATTCTACCAGTTTCTCTCAGTTCCTTCTAGTTTCTTTCCATATCCAACTCTTTTTTTCAAGCTCTAAATAAGAGGCCCTAAATGTGTTCGTAGTGATAACGACACAAAAATTGAAGGATCAAAGGATTACTTTCGTGAATAGGGTATCATCAATGAGACATCTTGTGTCTCCACACCCTAGCAAAAGGGACATAGGGCAAGGGGTAGCTGGAACGGTCAATTTTTCGAACGAGACATTGTAGGTGTCTCAAAAAAGCAGTGACATCATAAATTATCGTAGTCAGTATCAACAGAACCTCACCTTTAATAAAAAAAAATGAAAATTAAAATGTGGGTTGTGGGAGGCAGAGTGTTGCATTACCTACGTGGTTAGTAGACCTATTTGTCTGATGGATTTTCAAATTTAGGTGGGCATGTTGCTCCTATATCATCACAATGCATGGCATTTGTCCAATCACTTGGTACAAACTAAATCAAAGATGAGGAGGACTATGCAAAAGCACTACTCCTTTTGTCCTCGAAACAGTTTTAAACAAAAAAACCAACAGTATTAATTTACCAAGATTCCACCATTACAACAGTAAAGAGGAGATTAGTCCATTAAAAGCATGGATGGTCAACAAAGGGGCTATCTATTCCTAGTCAAGCCATTCCAAGTCTTTGACTCTGGTAAACCCATGGAATTACGTTAGGGAGTATTATTAATAGCTTCTTCCTCTTAATTATATTCTCACTCCTCTCCTCCCACTCTAATTAATTGAAGTGATTTTTGATCAATGGAGAGTGTTCATTATTGCATTCGCGAGGAAGAAGAAGAAGAAGAGGACGACGGCGAAAACGCATACATTGAGATAAATCTGGGCCCGCGAAGTCGGACGGAGAAAGATGAAGAAGAGAAAAAGAAAGAGGACGGGGTTGAATTTCGGGTGTCGTATTTGGAGGGAGGGGGCATCGTCCCCTTCCTCTCCTTTTCTTCCCCTCCCTCTTCGGCGGCCCGTAAGCCTGCTGTGCCTGACAAACGGAGAGGAGGCTGTCGCTTGCCGCCGGGGAACCCAAGAGGCAAAAGTGGTGACCAATGCCACGACTATGCGCTACCTGAAACTCACTCCAAACAACTGCTTCTCAGCTCCAGCAGGTATATTTATTAATCAGGGCTTGTTTGGTAATAGTGTTAGAGATTAGTGTTAGCGTTTTGGATAAAATTTTAATGGTGCAAATTACTTTGAAAATGCTAACGCTAAACACTGCTCGCAGATAGCCTTTTCAAAACGCTAACGCTATTTTCAAACCGGCCCTTAGTCTCTGTTTTTTTGTTTCTCTGTACTCAGTGAAAAAAACATGTATTTTGTCACTGAAGCGAGTCTTACACTACTCTAGTCCAGATATGGGGTGAACAAAAAATTTGACTCTGCATTGTTCCGAACCGAACTAACGTTGTTACGAAACCGAAAATCGATTTTCAAATGGTTTGGTAAGTAGTGTATGAACTTAATTGTCCATCGAGTATTTTAATTTAACATCGAACTGATTAATTGAGCAACAATAAGTGGAAAGCATCAAACACTAAAGTCTAAACTGAATTTTACTGAATGTAAATTAGGCAACGTAAGTCAAACAAAAGTTACTTCAAATTATAATTGCAAAGTGCTGAATTAAGCTAATTGGAAAAAAAAAATCTAAAATAGGAGTAAAACATTAAAAATATTATATTATGTATTAAAATAAGAATTCTATCTTTTTATTTCAGAAGAGTTAAAATGCATATACAATATCAATCATGACCATATACATTACAAAAAAAGTATTGTGAAATATTCATACACAGTGCCACATTATATTACAACAATCCAAACTCCTATTTTGGTAATAAAAACATTGAGCTCATACTTTAACATTTTTTCTATGTTTTACTCCTATTTAAGATGACTTCTTTTATTAATAGAATGACTTGCTGTTTGAATTGTCTCTTCAATTCATTTGAGTTGAAAAAGTTAACTCTCAACTTTTTTCAACTCCTTCTTCAGCTTCCGACAATGACTAAAAAAAAGTAGGAAAATGTTATTTGTACCCCAAGAATTTGTATCCCATTTTATACACCGCAGGAAATCACCAACATTTTGTGTTGGTGTAATGTTAATTTTTGTTAACGCACCAACACTTTGTGTCAGTGTGGACCTTCTAAATGTTGGTGCACACCTTTGGTGTACAAATTGGGTACAAATTTTGGGTTACATGTAGCATGCTCCAAAAAAGTATTTACATATGATGAATATATAACATCATACTCCGTATATCCAAATTTATAACATATCACCTCAAACATGGACAAATATGAATGAATCTTTTTTTATTCAAATTAGTTTTCTTGCATATTTAATTGAGTGATTATTTAATTGAATTATTTTTTTATCATTTTATTTTTTCTAACATCTTCCAACTCTTTGAAGTGTTGTCTAACTTTCTAGCTTCTTCTAACTCCTTTTAATTTCTTCCAATATCTATTTTTTTACACCCCAAATGAACTAAGTGTTTGATTCTAAAGACCTGATCCAATGTTACCAATGTGATTCTTCCAAATAAAAAAGCACAGGTTCATTTTCCAATAGAGACGTTAACTCCCGTAATAATAATAACAACAAAAATAATAATAATAATAATAGCAATAATAATAATAACAATAATAATAATAGTACGATTATTATTATTATTATTATTATTATTATTATTATTATTTGGTATTATATATAAACACATGTATATACTTCTAAAAATTCAAAAAAAAAGAATTATAAAATTATTTAGTCAAACAATCATATTTTTCTTATTGTTCATTAATAATAGTTTTCAGATAAATAATACTGACAATATCACGTAAAATATATTATACGGATTATTGCATACAATAGTCATTCCTTTGGAAGTGTATTTTTCATAATTATTTTTACCAAACATAGAATATATTCCGTACTAAGAAAATCTTTAATTTAAAAAGTTATTTTTTTAATTTTTTACAAAATATTTGAATGTGGGCCTGACCAGGCCGAAGCCCGGGGGTATTCATGTGGGCTAGACTTGAGCTTCAATTATTAAGGCTGATATGCGGGGCCTGGCTAGGACCAACTTAGAAAGTTCTCTTAATATCCGCCTACTTTGATCAAGCCTAGTCTAAGGGGTTGTTTGGCAACTTCTGAATAGATAAGTGCTGAACTAACAAGAGGTCTTGAAGCATTAAGTGCTGAAACAGTAAGAGGTCTGAACCATTAAGAGCTAGTATATTGCTTAACTATTCAGAGTCCAATGTCTGATCAATTCAAATAAGAGGTCTTAACCATTCAGACTATGTATAATACTTAACTATTCAGAGGCAAATGTCTGAACCATTCAGACATCTGAACCATTAAGAGGCTGAAACAAACAGTCTGAACCATTAAGTGCTGAACCATTCAGACATCTGAACCATTAAGAGGCTGAAACAAAGAGCCCTAAATTAAAAATACAGAGTATTTTAGAAATCGCGATATAATTTATTAAATTTGAGAGTAATAAAGTAATTTGTGAATCTTTTGAAGTAATGCTGTGAATTTGTATCCCAAATGTAAAAAAAAAGAAATGTGCTTAAATAAACTAAACTATTAAATTTAGACAAAAAAAGCTTCATATATTTTACTGGCATCTCTTAAATAAAAATGTTGAAACCATACAATATTACACGGTGATGTTAGACGATTTTTTCTCTTTGTACAAAAAAAAAGGACTTTTTCACGGTGGCTAACATTTGATGGTGATGCAGGAAAGGAGGGTCGTGGTCAAGTGGGAGAGCGGAGGAGGAGAGGGGCGGAACGGAGCGCAGAATAATGAACGTCATGTTCAAATTCCGGTGCTTCGTTATGAGTTTCCCGTGGAAGGCCGCCTGGAGAATCCGAAGCCACCAGCCGCCAAAATCCGCCGCCACAGCATCCTCATCTCCCTCCACCTCCGCCCGCTTTACCCCACCAGCCGTCAAGTCTCCTCCTCGTCACCCACCCACAAGTAATTTCCAGGCGGCGGCCGAGAAACCCCGATCGTCGGTGCTACTGTTGGGGATGAAGCTCAGGGAGCTGGTCGCGTCGTCGCCGTCGCCGTCTGATCACGGCAGAGGCGGCGGCAAGCCTTCCAAAAGCTGCCCTGCTTCCGTGAAGTCGACGCCTCTGCATCGCCACCAGTGGGCGGCTACTTCCTTCGCCGGAACGGTGGTGTACACCAGGGACAACTCTGTTCAGGCCGCCATTGCTCACTGTAACAAATCTTCCGGCCGCTCCAAGGATTTCTCATTTTGATTTCACTTTTAAGAAATTAAAACATTATTTGTGTTATTTGTAGTTGTATTCTCTTCTCTTCTTGGCGGTGGTCTAGACGATTGAGCACCACTGGTTCTAAATTTGCTTCCACTAAACTTCTTACCATTTGTTAGAGGGTCATTCCACATCGAAAGTTCAAGAATAAAATAATCGGTTGAATTCAATCGATTAATGTTGTTCAAACCAATTGACTTATGACACAATCCAGTTATCCATACCCAACTTAAATTCTATCACCATTCTTAAAATTGTTACATTTAGAATTGAATGTGCTCGGTGCTTGACCGTAAGTCGTAAATATAGAAAAGGGGGATCCAAGAAAGACACAAGTGGTCGTAATGGATCTGTTGTACTAAAAAATGTGAAAAATACTAAATAAAATACTACTCCCTCCGTTTCTTAAAACTCTTCCTCTTTCATTTTTTTTGTTTTTCTTAAAACACTTCCCCTTTATATTAAAAAACCACTTTTACCCCTACTTTTTCATACCCTACCTATCAAATCATACTTTTTCACTAACAACTAAACTATCACATCTTACTTTTACCCATCACATCAAGGGCAAAATTGGAAAGTCAACTACAATTTAACACTTCCTTATTTTCCCCCAAAGTCAAAAGAGAAACTCTTTTGAGAAACGGAGGTAGTACTATAGTTTAAAGAGATGGATGGAAGTGTCTGAAAGTGAAGAGTAGAGTGATCTGTTTAAATAGTGATTTAAAATTTTAAATTTTTTAAATTTTAACGGTTAGATTTGGAGAAGAAAATTAAAAAAGACTTTGTGACCGTGGAATGGTCTTTTTTGAAGAAGGGACACGCAGTAGAAAAATGGGAAGAGGATCCCGCCTTTTCCGTTCACACATAGGGTGGTGGTGCTCCCTATAAATTCGTTCCTACTAGCTCAGCCATAAGTCAACCATCCCCTTCTCTCTTTCCGTGGCATACTCCATGACCTTATAAAGTGTACCACCACCCTAGGAGTCACACGCTCATGCCCTCAGGGATGGTAGAAGAGGATACTCGCAGTATGTTTTTTTACTCGCCAGTGGTAGAGTTGAAGAGCTTGTTTTCTAATCTTGCTTGCGAGTAAAGAAAATTCATAGCTTGGGATGATATTCGAACTTGCCGCAAATCGTCAGCTTAATAGGCTTAAAACTATCCAAGGTCTTTGAAGTATGGAAAAATTATCGAAAATAATTCCAACTTTACCTGATCTTTCAAAAATAATTCCACCTTTCAATATGGTGCATAATAATCTCAACTTTATTGAAATTTATGAGTTTTGGATCATTGTTAAATTGCAAACGGCGGGTTAATGGAAATTCTTGTTTTGCACAACAAAATGAAAGTTGAGATTACTTTTGATGAATTTTTTATTATAAATTTTTTTTTGATATTTTCATTTAAATTTTAATCACATGCAGGACTGCAGCCTCCACCTTGGTCGTTGCTTTGACCGCCACTGGTAGAACCATTTCCGCAGCCAAAAGTATGGTCGACCATAGCCTCCTCCTTGACTGCGATCTCGACTGCTTGAAGAGAAAAGTGTCGTAAGAGGACCCCCAAGAGTAGAATCAACTAAGCTTGGTTTTAGTTTCATCTCAAGATTAATTTCCTCAAAGGTGAGTTATCTAAAGAGTTAATTAAGACTTATGTTTTTGTTCTACATGCATATGTTTTGTTTAAAGGTGGAGTAGTCGGTGGGGAAACTACAGAAAGCAGCATTCACAACATCACGTTCAGGAATCTTTTCGTTTAAGACATCTAGATCTACTAGAATAGAAGCTGATGGGCCAATATCCAACGGGTGGCCCAAACGCATCACCCGGAAGACACTAAGTCACACAGACAGAGGAGTAGTAAATATGGGTCAGCCCAAGGAGCTAGGCCCAAACCAACCTAGTCCAAAAGACAGCTGGAAGAGGTAATCCGCCGGAGGAGATTTAGTAGAAGGCGAGGACGCAGCCGGAAAAAGGGGATCACGCCATTGACGGATTAAACTTGTTTTGATGGTGAATTACCTTAATTACTCAAGAAACCATGTATAAATAGAGGAGACCCGAACGGGGGATGCTCAGGCTAAATAAAGCTAATAACACATACAATTCTCGAGTTCTTGTTCTTATTTTATTTCTTGTGATCCATTCCTCTGAATTGGATCGCCCGGTGGATTTATTGTCCATCAAAAGCAATTTTGTCTAGAAAGTGAGTCCTATTTTTAGTACCTTTGCAAAAAGTGTGAAGCTTATCCTGAAGTTGATAAATATGAGTGGTTGACATAGAGTTGTAGTGTGCTGCTAAAGCATCCTAAAGGCCATCAAAGAATATTGTGAAGCCTCGAGCATGTTTGTGACTTGTAGGGCTGATGATGGCAAGAAGACAAGCGCAGATTTGTGTATCAATCGCGGTCCATGAGGAATATAAAAGATTATGGGTGGCAACTCCTTCTTTGAGGATAATCTTTAATGGTATTTTCTCGGATTCATCAATCCAACCAAGTAAATGATTGGCTTCAAACACAGTCCGAACATTCAGAGACTATGTAGGGAAGTTTGTGAAGGTTCTGGACTAGAAGTTTGACTCTGAAAGAAAGATATGAGAGGGGATCTGACATTTCCATGGCGGTAAATCGTTAAGTGATGAGGCGGCGTTTTTGCCAAGAAACAAAAGTCTAGGGTTTTTAGAACCCTTGCTTTGATACCATGGTAGAATTTTATGATTGGGTAAGGTAGATTGAGTCCATGATAGAATTTTAGGATGAGGTAAGGGTCACTGGATTGAGCCAAAAGACACTTGGGCTAAATCATATTAAAGGATTGAATCTAATCGATTACTTAGTTCAACCCAAGAGCTTATATACTAATTATTTTTCTCTTTAATTTCCAATATGGGATACTTTAACACTCCACCTTAAATGCATTTTAAACATAACTGATTAACCACATCCAAATGAATTCTCATCCGTCTGAAATTTTTTTAAATGCCAATACCTAAAGGACTACGAACCACTATGTATGAACTTCTAGACGAGCAACTAATTTAAACATGCCACATAACGTTGTTCCACACAGAAAATTGGGCTAAAGACTAAGGCCGCTAGGAATGAACCTCTAAATGGACACCTTATTAGACGAGGTGGGCTAAAATTGCCTTCGATACCATGATACAATTTGATAATTATTGATCTTATTGAATAATAAACTATCAAGGAGTATATATAGAGTATATTGTGTAGAATCCTAAATAAGGTATGAAGATAAATATGGTAACATGAGAATAAAGAAACTAAATAACATTAGGATTCTATTTCCTATTAAAAACATAGAATGTGTAATGTGAATTTTTTTTACAATTTGAATATTTGTTCTCCTTTCATTCTTTCAACAGTGCACTAATCTATGAGCCAAAGAATGCAAATGAGTTCACATAAAAAGCATGGGAGGCTAAGAACAGCATAGACTAAAAGAAGGAATGTCCTGGTTGATGAAGTTGACAGAAAAGGTGGAGGAACTATTAACCACATGTTATTGAAAATGGTAACTTACCTAAATAGGACTAAAATATAATGACTTTTTCAATATAAGACCATATGTTTTTATTTCCCAATGTAGGACCATTGATCATTATCTATTATTTATTATTCAACTAAATGTCCACCATCACTTGGACATTATTTTTCTCACTAGACATTACTAAGTCCTATTTAAGAAATAAAAAATTTAAGTTCCATATTGGGAAATGACTTATGTTTTAGTCCTATTCATTACAAATTTTACATTGAAAAATCACATAAAGGTTGTGGTATGTAAGTACAACTAGTAAAATGAGGTGCTTGATGTGGCTCATATAAGGCTCACTAGCATGGCACACACGTTGTGTGTGTGTGTGCCCAAATTGTTTGTATAATGTGCTATGATTTTGTAGTACGGCATACGTGTAGTACTTTACGAGAAGTTTAGACATTGTTTTACAAAAATTAAAGTGATCACCTACACTTCATTTATGATACGTTGCAAATATATAAGTTCTAACATAGGGACTGTTTTACAAAAATTGAAGTGCTCACATGCACTTCATATATGAGATGTAGAGGATTCCTACCTAGTTGGGATACATTTATGTTACAAGAGGGGTAGGAATATACATTTAATTAAGTCCAAAAAAGTTTCTAAGATCTTGAAACATGGGTTAATTTTTTTTGTGGCAGTCATCTTCAACCTTCAAGTTTCTCTTTAAACTTGGAGTGCTTGTTTCCCTTTGAGAGAGGCTGTAGAGGCTTAGTAGTGAGTAGATGTTTGATGTTTGTCTTTCGTAAAAGCTTGATGTTGGTTTGATGGCAACAATAACCGTGAGTGTTTGCATTTGTTCTTCGACATCCATTTTTCTGTGAAATGAAACTCAAAAAATGAGAATTTAGAATATAAGTTTGTAATTTATAAAACACTTAAACATTTATAAAAATGTGTAATTTAGAATCAATACGTGCCGCTACACTTGAAATTAAACCAAATGAAACTTTACAGATGATGATGAAGAAATGCATTCAAAGGGAGTGGACTTGTATTCAAAAGTAAGGCCCTAGAGGTTCTGTTTTATCCATGAAATTAACTTCAAAACCAGAAATCTCTATGAAAATTCGCCTTTAAAGTACCAAATTTCTCATCAAAGTCAGCCCAAAAGTTTCTAAATCAGCCCCTCAAGTATCAGTTTTCCCATAAAAAGAAGCTTCACAATCATATTCTATTTCAAAATCAGATTCTAAAAGTGCACTTCCCTCTTATTAGCATCTTATAGTGCCTCACTTATACTGCCTCAGACCCTAATTTGGGACATCCCTAAGCAGGATGTTGTTTGCCTTAAAAAAAGAAAGCTTTATGTCATCCTTGTGTAACTTAGTACTTCATTTTTGCTTGTTGATACTTGAGTGTTTGTAGATTTCTTAGCCAGATTCATATTAATCCAAGTTAGTTCTGCATTTGGCATTTATGAAAAAAATAAATAGTGATCATACAAATTATCGCATCTGTGTTAGCTGTACTTTTGTGGTACGTTTTAAGAAGTTTTAACAATTTTTTATCATGATCCATGGTACACAACTTGTTGAAATTCCATTTAAGAAAACAATAAACTAAAGGTGAATAGCCCTAACATTTGATTATTCTATAAGTTCATCTTATAGTGTTTTGAGTGCTTTTGCATTCCTAATTCATGTAATGAGAAGGTAGGCCCTCCTTGACAGTAGGTCAAATAAGCAAGAAATAGATGGGCAATTTATATCTTCATACCAGTAATAAGAGTAAGGGATTCCATTTAAGTTATTTAGAAAAATAAATGAGGGCATGCAGTAAACACACTAAAAATGAAACAACAAAATAAAGGAAGATGAAACAGAAATGAGATATATTGAAGGTCTACCAACACAATGTTTAGTTCTTGAACATTGGGAGAAAACAAAAGAACTACAACAATAATCCCAAAATTTATTAACACAGAAAGCTGTGAAGTGGGTGGAGTTCCAGCGGATTCCTAAATTTTCTAACAAACATAACAGCGAATTTGACCTCTAAAAAATTTGAATAATCCCAAAATTTATTAACACAGAAAGCTGGGAATTTGAAGTCTTAAAAGTTGAATAAGTGTATTAAAAAAGGGTGAATTTTTGAATGGAGTAAATTATAAAACCCTTAAACTTCTGGAAGAGGATGAACTGGCTGCAGTTTTAGTGGATCCCCAAATATTCCGAAAATTTTTGTACACGGAAAACTATGAATTTGAACTCTTAAAAATTGAATAAGTGTATTAAAATTTGGGTGAATTTTGAAATGGACTGAATTAAAATTTGGGTTTCCTTTTTTTAGCAACAAAAACCTGTAAATTTGCAGAATCTGAAATTGGAAGTAAAGAATTGAAGATTTGCGCAGCTTATGAATATGAAGATTATGAAGGAGGAGGGAGATTCTGCGAATTACCTGGAAATTGAAGAGGAAAACCACGCAGGATGAGCGAGAAAAACGAATTAAAATCAGAACTGGGAAGAAAGTGATGTAGAGGGGCGGTGGGCGGCAAGAACGACCAATAGCATCCGTGTACGTAGGTTGGAAGAAAAATAAACGGAGAAGTGGGGAAGTGGTGACGTGGGTAAAGGGACGGAAAAAGATACGGAAAAAGAGCTAATCTAACAGACATAAACGCAGTTGGCTCTTATAATATAAGGGGGGATTATCAAGATGAGGATACATTATTCAAAATGTAGTAAAACTATTTTTTTCCCATACGGGTGGCCTTCTAATAGGGTACTACAATTTATTCTTGTGCATGATTTGTATTTAAAATTAAGTCATATACACTTTTTTATGTGTACTAAATAGGTTAAGTTGTGGAGTGTTTGTGATCAAGATGGCTAAATTCATCATGCTTAGACAAGATGTGTATGAAATTGATGCAAGAAGACATAGAATGTCGCAAAAAGATGACAATAGAGGTCCAATCATATGCTGCAAATGTCCAACTCTAGATTAACTAAAATAATTGGAAAATATTGATGTTCTAAATTTTCATATTAGAAATACTCTTATTTTCTCCGTGATATCAATTATCAACCTGTCATGAAGACATTAGATATTCCATTTCAAAAACTAGTTGTGAATGTGAAATTTAGCAATAACGGTCCTTATTCTCATTGTTGCATTGACATTTAAAACTTAGTTTATGCATAGGAATACTAATCCACAATGTACTTCATAAGGATTGATATGATATACACTAAAAAGGTAGGCATTAAATCTAAAAACGTATAGAGTACCAAGTCATTTAAAACACATTAGCCTACTTAAGGCAATTTAACATTACATAATTAAGAAAATATTGCCGTAATAAAAAATGTTCCAAGGTCAATAGGCAATGAGGGGTGTATTAATTAATTCGAAAGTACAATGGCATTAGTGCACAAATTAATTAAAGACTATGGAGTATTTCATTGTGTGAAGTGTTAATAAAAAATTTCAATAAAGAAAGACTTAACTCATTATGATATGACACTAAGACATTAGAATACAACCTCAAAGAACATTGTGATTGGAATAAGAACATTAAAGTATAGTGTGAGGTACATTGAAGTTGAGAGTCGATGACTTGAAACAAAAGACAATAAAAGAACAGGGAGATATAATGTTGTCTATAAGGACAAGGACACTAGCTTTCTGTTGTTGTAGAGACATTAAGCTACAAACATACATACATTACACTTTCAATGAGGTCATTTTTAGTTAAAACATGGAGTACAATGAACAATGAGAGGGATACTGATTGAAGACAAACTAACCCAGGTTTGTTGATAGACATTTCAAGGTCAATGGACAATGAGAGGAATAATGATTGAGACGTACAATAGAATCACTTCACAAAGACTATAAAATGTCCCCAAGTGAAGTGTTTACGAAAAATTTAAATTCCACAAAAAATACTTGATATATATTTAAAACTATGACGAAAAATGATCGATATGAAAATAAAAGTTTTAAACTTTAATGTTTTGGATTATTTATTGAGTTGTTTTATTATTCAAAAAAGGTTTTGGAAAGAAGTTGTTCTCCTTTTGTCATAACTCATATAATTTTGGGATATACGAGCTATGGTGTAATACCAGTTGACACCAAAATTCAAACAAAGATGTGTTGTGTCCTGGATGAGACATTCAAACGTGAAATTGATTGCAACAATAAAGAAAATATGATAAAGGAAACAAGAGGATATGTTTAGAATGAAGAAATGCAAAGAAAATTAGAGGAGAAATATGCGATTAGGAGAGAGGAGTGGAGATAAGTTAGGAGATAATTGATTTCTTTCTTAAAGTATAGGCGTAATTAATGAGTGATTAACTCGTTATTATGTAAATCAAATATTCATAAAAAAAAACTACTAGAAAAATCATTCTAATCCACCAAAAGTAATGAATGATTCTGGGGTAGAAAAGGATCTTTATTAAAAAAAAAGTCTTAGAAAAGGAATAAAATGATATTAGTCCTACTATGGAAAACTAATACTCCATATGTTTTACATTTATACTCAATAGTTTTTACTTGAAAATTCTACATCCATTAGCTTGTTTGGTTGGAGAAAATGGAAGAAAGAGAATTAAATATTTTTGTTTGGTTGGATGGAAGTTAGAAAAGAAATATTTTTTATAATAAAATTATAATTACTTTTTTAAAAAATATATTTATAAAACACAAATGTTTCATATAATAACTTTTTTATATTTTGATTGTAAAAGTCAAGTTGGACAAACAAACTATGATGTAGGAAGTATATAATCATTAAAAAATCTAATTTATTCTTTACAATACAACAAGTTTTTTATTCAAAACGATCTCATAATCAACAATATAATTTTTTTCAACACAAGCTCGAAATCAATAATCAGTTAAAATAACAATTTTTATTGATTCAAAATGAGTTCAAAATAAATAAAAACATTTTTTATACTTCAAAATATTAAATAAATTAAATATAATTGAAAAAAATAAATATCTTAAAAAATATTTTAATTGATTTTAAAATAATTATTATTAAAAAAGTATTATTTTGTTCAAACTATATAAGAATAACAAAAAAAGTGAGAGAACAAATCTTAGTATGATTAGCGCAAATAACAAAAAGAAAATAAACAGACATTGAGTTTTACGTATGTCTGTTTTTGCTGGGTGTATAAATAGGATACTCCATTACATTATTGATGTATTTTTCTCATATCTTTCAACTACCTTCCCAACCAAAGAATGAAAAGCTTCTTCACATTTTCCTTCAACCAAACAAAGCCTAAAGGGGCATTTACGTAAATGCATCTCAAAGCTGCCCTAGATATCCACCCCTTCTCGCTGGCTATGAATACATATGTTCTTCAGTGGAGTATCCTACTGCCCTCTATACTTTTTCTCTTCGTCCCGCGGCAGATTTATTGCTAAGCGCTCTTTGCTTTCAAAGGTTAGATCTCAGATCGACTTCAATTTCATCATGATTTGGTGTGAATGCATATAAGTCTGTGCATGTCTCGTTGTTTATGATTTTTTTTTCTGTTTACAAACTGGTTTGTGCAGATTTAATTAGATATCATGATCTGCTTGCTGAATCTGCATATGCGCCTTGTTTACATTAAATTTTCCAGAAATGTTGTGTCCATGATCTGCGTTTTATGATTCTCTGTTATAAGCTGCTGATCCAAATCATTTTCTATTCGCCATAGCTATTAGGTTTCTGTTTCCTGATTGTGTTTTTGTTGATCTCTGTTTAATTCGTTTTCAGAATTTCTCATGGATATTGCTATTTTGTTATGATTGTTTAATTGATGTAGGTATAACCCCAGGTTTGAGTGTCTCTGTGTATTTTGTTTGGGCGGCATGATAATTATACGCTATTGGAGACTTTATCCATGATAATTATACGCTATTGAAGACTTTGAGTAGAAACTGTAGCATATGATGTTAAACACATTTCCAACGCCTCTTATCAGTGATTGTTTCCCAATTGGTAACTAAATCTTTGTGATCCTTTTTTATGGTGGGTTAATATTGTACTTTCAATTCAGGTATCATCATGGGTAAGGAAAAGACACACATCAACATTGTTGTCATTGGCCATGTCGACTCTGGGAAGTCTACAACCACGGGTCACTTGATTTACAAGCTTGGAGGAATTGACAAGCGTGTGATTGAGAGGTTTGAGAAGGAAGCTGCTGAGATGAACAAGAGGTCATTCAAGTATGCCTGGGTTCTTGACAAGCTCAAGGCTGAGCGTGAGCGTGGAATCACTATTGATATTGCTTTGTGGAAGTTTGAGACCACAAAGTACTACTGCACAGTCATTGATGCCCCTGGACACCGTGACTTCATCAAGAACATGATTACTGGAACATCGCAGGCTGATTGTGCTGTTTTGATCATTGATTCTACCACTGGTGGTTTTGAAGCTGGTATTTCCAAGGATGGTCAGACCCGTGAGCATGCTTTGCTTGCTTTCACTCTTGGTGTTAAGCAGATGATTTGCTGCTGCAACAAGGTTTTTATTGTTAACACAATCAATTTAATTTACATGCATAATAATAATCATGATTTTATCCTATTGACTGACATCTCTGTATTGATCTGTAGATGGATGCTACAACTCCCAAGTACTCTAAGGCTAGGTATGACGAAATTGTTAAGGAAGTCTCATCCTACCTGAAGAAGGTTGGATACAACCCGGAGAAAATTCCTTTTGTTCCCATCTCTGGTTTTGAGGGTGACAACATGATTGAGAGGTCAACCAACCTTGACTGGTACAAGGGACCCACCCTCCTTGAGGCTCTTGACAATCTCACAGAGCCCAAGAGGCCTTCCGACAAGCCCCTCCGCCTCCCTCTTCAAGATGTCTACAAGATTGGTGGCATTGGCACTGTCCCTGTTGGCCGGGTTGAGACTGGTATCATCAAGCCTGGTATGGTCGTCACTTTTGGGCCCACTGGTCTGACTACTGAAGTGAAGTCTGTTGAGATGCACCATGAGGCTCTCACTGAGGCACACCCCGGCGACAATGTGGGATTCAATGTCAAGAATGTTGCGGTGAAGGATCTCAAGCGTGGGTTTGTTGCTTCTGATTCTAAGAATGATCCCGCCAAGGAAGCAGCCAATTTCACTGCTCAAGTCATCATCATGAACCACCCTGGCCAGATTGGTAACGGATATGCCCCCGTGCTCGACTGCCACACCTCTCACATTGCTGTCAAGTTTTCTGAGCTCTTGACTAAGATTGATAGACGGTCGGGCAAGGAGCTTGAGAAGGAGCCAAAGTTTCTGAAGAACGGGGATGCAGGAATGGTGAAGATGATCCCAACTAAGCCCATGGTTGTGGAGACCTTCTCCGAGTACCCACCGCTCGGCCGTTTTGCAGTGAGGGACATGCGTCAGACTGTTGCTGTGGGTGTGATCAAGAGTGTGGAGAAGAAAGATCCGTCGGGTGGTGGCAAAATTACCAAGGCTGCCCTTAAGAAGAAGTGAACCGCACAAGGGGTCTGGTGTTTTAATAATAAAGAAGAATCGTCTTGCTTTGGTGGTGGTGATGCCGGGGCAGTCGGATCTTCGCTTTGTTTTATGTGTCGTAGTGTTTTGCCTAGCATGTTTGGTTCCCATTCTCAGAATTGGGTACTCGACAGACGGTGGCGAGTCTTTTAAAGTGTCACATGGTCGGACAATGTTTTGTGATGTATGCCTTTTGAGTTCTGTTATTCCGGTAACGGTAATGTTTGGGTTTTGTTTGTGAAATTCTCTTTTTAGTACATGGTATCTGCTTTAGATGCATGTGTTGTGCAGGTCTCTATAAATCATGTAGGATAAATTGATATTGGTTTGGATAATATTCGGGATTAAATCATGCAAAAAAAGAAAAAAAATAATGAGGAACATTGAATGCACAAATTCATGCATTGGAGTTCATCTGCTGGTGAGAATCACTCTGGAAGAGAAGAAGCTTCAATGAGTTCCATCAAGATACTCAAAAGCTCTTCCCATTTGAAAGGGGGATAAACATGGAAGTGTCAGAATTTATGAAATGTAACTGTCAGGTGTGCCTTCCCCTGTATCATGATGATGATGATGATGATAAGATTAATACAATCATCCTTAAATCTTTATCTAGGATCTGTTTAGTTGAAGAAAAACATTTTCTAGGAAAGAATGACCGCACGTTTTCCATTGTTTGATAGGAATAATATTTTTGCCTTTCGAGTATTTTTTTTAATAATTCCCCACCACTTAAGTTATCGATCTTTAGAATTAGAATTGAACTTTTTTTATTCATAACCACCGGGGAAAAAAAATTAAAAATTATTTTAAACAAACGTGGTGATTAGGAATTAAATTGTAGGGTCTTTAATAGCTCTTCTCCCGTGTACATGTACCATAGTTGTTTTCGAATGGAAAGTGATATTGGCACTTCACAACTGTTAATGACTTGTTTATTTTTTATTTGTATTGACATTAACAATTGTGGAGTGCCAATATCAATTCCATTTTCAAATGTTTGAGGTATACGCTTAAATATGTGATATATACGGAGTATAATTATAATGGGGACAATATTACAGAGTATTAAGATTTTCCAAACGTTTTTCAACAAAAATATTTACTCCCTCCAAAAATACTCTGTATCCCTAATCACTTCCTGAATTGAAACTCTTAACCGTACTCGTACTTACGTGGGTAAAGCCAAAAAAGAGATGAAGAATATGATGCAAAAAAGACTAAAGTAAAAAGTAAAACATTGACAATATATCAAAATAAGAGTTTTATGTTCTTATTTCCAAAATAGGAGTTAAAATACATTTACATTATCAATCATGATCATGTACATTACGTAACATGTATCACATTACCAACAATGCAAACTCTTATTTACGAAATAAAAACATGGAACCGCTATTTTAATACTTTCTCCATGTTTTAGTCCCGTTTAAGGTGATTTCTTTTCATCATAAGATAAGAATTACTTAATTTAATTTTAGTATTTGATAAAGACTTCATCACTTTAAAGACTTAATTTAATATTATGTGATAAAGACTTCATCATTATTACTCCGTATTAGCATCTCCTTGTCTCTAGATTTCATACTTACAATAGACTTGTAATGCTCGTTTATTAATTCCGATGCCAAGTTAATTACATAAACAGCACATACAAATACTCCATAATCACTTAAAACAATTAATACACGCAAAACATCTCATGTCACATACTTTGGGACGAGGGAAAAAAACAATAAAATACAGACCATTGAAAGAATTATGGGTGTCTTTTAAAATACCTGAGGTACCAAGTTTTGGGGCTTTTTTATTCTTTGATATGCAGAACCTTTAAGAGAGATGAGAGTGTGGGCATTATAAAACAAACATTCCATCATATGATCATCATCATCAAGCTCACACAGACCTTATCTAATTGGCATCCCTGCTGTAAAACTGATCGAGGGTCTTCCCTGGGATACGGTGTAGAAGCTCGCGAGGGAAGATCCGGAGGAGCGTCCACGCCAAATCCAAAGACTGAAAGATGTTGCGGGTGTCGTACGCTCCTTGGGACACAAACTTCCTCTCGAATTTGTCGAGAAATTCTAGGTATAGCTGTTTTGCATTTGATTTAACAACACCTCATTTTAGCTTCTAACAACATTTGAGTTACTAGCCACAAAAAAACTAGTATAATTCTAACTCCGGTTGGGGTCTGATGGGTCAAGAAGTACACAACCTTGCCCATGTCAACAAACAGAGAGGGATAGACCCTTGATGCGTTTACTACCCATGACTTCATAGAAATTAAAGGGTAAGAAAAAGGCATAGTTTAATGTGTCATTTCGATTTAGTTTTATTAGTAATCCGAAGCTAAATCATTGTAAAAAATGATTCTTTTACCCAAAAATGAAATTTATACTTTTTATGGAATTCCAACAATGAAGTTCATGCTTACTATCCCATTTCCCATTGATAACAGAATATGTGCCTCACAACATTTCAATTTCTTTTAAATAAATTATAACTTTTTTTCAACATTTTTCTTTAACACTGTGAAGTCAAACTGTAAACTTCACTTTGAGACGGAGTAATCATAAAAAAATTATTATGGAAATAAAGGGTAAAATAAATTTTGGGTATCATGGCTAAAGGTAGTTGAAATAGTCTTGTCTTAATTTGTTTTGGCAATTTAGACTTGTTACTTTCAAAAAGACAAGATTTTTCCCGATTTCATCGTAAATTGAAAATCCACCAAAAAGTAAAATTAAAATTGGGATCCGACAAATTGTTGTTAGCGTTACAATTTTATTAATGACAAAAAAGTTTTTTAAAGCTACATGCTAATTGTCTGTTTCTTCATTTTCCTGAAAAATGCAATTTCGGCACTTCAAATATACTTCCTCCATACCCAAAAAGAAATATCCACTTTCGTTTTCCACCCATCCCAAAATAAATTTTCCACTTATTGTCCAAAAAAGGAAAAGATTAAGTGACTTACAACTTTCTCTCCTCTAAATAAATTCTACCTATACATTTTTAACTTTTTAATACTCCGTAACTTTCTTAAACTCCATGAAGTCAGACCATAACCTTCTTTTGGAGACAGAATGAATAATTGTCACATCACCACCAATTTTACAATCCCACAAATGTTTTAAGGCCATGGGTCTAAATTGCCAAAAAAAAACATTCTAGGTCAAGTTTTGTCAACCTCTAATAGTTAGGAACTATGGCATTTAATCCAGTAACATAGGTTTTTTTTTGTTGAAAGTAAACTTACCAGGTCCTCAGAGGAAAGGGCTTCCTCTCCAACCACAGCTTTCATTGCTTGCACGTCCTTACCAATGGCATAGTTTGCATACAGCTGCAAAGAGAAATGTAAAAAAAACATTTGCACATAATGAACAAAACTAAAGACTTCAATCTTGGTGTTGCCTACTACCTACTTTGCTAGAATTGATCTTTTACCTGGTTTGAAACATCTGAATGGTCCCTTCGAGTCATACCCTCTCCAATGGCACTCTGCAACAATTAAGTCAATGTTGTTCACCCATTGTATTCACAACTCTCTTCATAAAACAAGAGTTTGTGTTTGATTATAAAACAAAAGCAAAACTATGCACTTACCTTCATTAAACGGGACAAAGATGGAAGCACATTGATTGGCGGGTATATCTGTCACATTAAAATCTGTTTAAGATCTACTAGCTCAATATCACTTTCCTAGTGTTAAACAAGTTATGAAATTTCATTTCAACACTTGTCCTCATATATAATGTGTTATGGTGCAAGACAACAGTGTTACCTGCCGGTTATGAAGCTGTCTGTCAATATATATTTGTCCTTCGGTGATGTAACCCGTCAAATCAGGAGTGGGATGGGTAATATCTGCCCAAACAAAATAATGTTGATTCACACGAACAAATGCTGAAACCAGAGGTTGTGAGTAAAAATGACATTGAGTGGCAGAATGATACCATCATTGGGCATTGTCAGAATCGGAATTTGTGTGATGGAACCTTTTCTTCCTTCGATACGTCCAGCACGCTCATAGATTCTTGCAAGATCAGTATACATATAACCTGGATATCCACGCCTTCCAGGCACTTCTTCTCGAGCAGCCGATACCTACAGACCCAACGGGGTTGAGATCATATTGGGATTGTTGTTATTTTCATTAGGAAGTAGTGAAGTACCTCACGAAGAGCATCGGCATATGAACTCATATCCGTCAGAATCACAAGGACATGCTTCCCACATTCATATGCTAAGTATTCAGCAGTAGTAAGAGCAATCTTAGGAGTAATGATGCGTTCAATGGTTGGATCATTAGCCTACATAAAAAGATCATAACCACATAAATGAACATAATAAATGGCTTAACCTTGAAAACAGCATAATTAAGAGCCCCGTTTTCGGCTCTATCACCCAGCTTTTTCAATAAACACGAACTTATTTCACTGCGCTACCTGAAATGGCTGGAAGTTGATACACTATTGTTTTGGTAAAATGGATGAAGTCGACACCTATACCCTTATTTTAAGAAATTGTTTTATTTGATCTATTCAAATATATAATTCAGTAGCAATTAATCCAATTATGTTTAGTATGGAATTTGGAAAAACCTCATTGGAGTTTGGAAACTTCAGCCATTTTGAGGTCTTACCAAATGGGCTCTAAATATCAATTAAGTGCATCTTTCGAAATTGAGAAATTACCAAATTCAGGAACAGAGTCACTCTCTCCATCGATCCATTTTCTTCAAAATCACGTTTGAAAAACTGAGCTGTCTCCATGTTCACTCCCATTGCTGCGAAGACAATGGCAAAATCATCATCTTCACCATCCTGCTGACATAATGAGAAAGCAGGAAGATAAGAGTCTGCCCAATATGATTCGATTGCACACTATATCTTAAATGTGTGACCAACTGAGGAAGTCAGAACCAAGAAATCAAAGTGACAGTGTCAATAACATGGAATAAGTATTATGGGGTAAATTATTCACAGACAACTTACTTCAAGAAGATTGTCAGATTTCTCCAGTCGCTTTACCAAACCAGCCTGGCGACAAATCTGCGCAGCAATTTCATTATGAGGAAGACCAGCAGCTGAAAAGAGAGGGATTTTCTGTCCTCTGGCAATTGAGTTCATGACATCTATTGTTGAAATTCCTGTCTGAATCATTTCTTCAGGATAGGTCCTCTCACTAGGATTTATCGAACTTCCTGAGGCCAAAAACAATATGTCAGGCAAAATTAACAAGATCTTCCTACACAAGATGTTCTTAAAAAGAAAATAATTACCAGAAATGTCCCTGTATGCCTCAGGAAGAATAGGAGGGCCATTGTCAATTGGCTTCCCAGAACCATTAAAAACGCGACCAAGCATATCCAAGGAGACAGGAGTTTGTAAAACCTGTGACAATGAGTTGGGTGTTTAGAAAACAAAAGAAAAGAACTACATATATACAGAGAACTGATGATTAAACCAAGGTGATAAAAAACAATCTTCAATAAAGGGGTACGAATAGGGAAATCAATTTTTTTAAAGAAAACATTAAGTAGACGCACTCCGCTATTTTTTAAATAGACATTCCACTTAAAACAAAAGAAAGCAAATAATATGACAAACCGAGATAGCACGATACCTCCCCAGTAAACTGCACAGTCGTATACTTGTTGTCAATTCCAGATGTTCCTTCAAAAACCTGATTTTAGAAGAAAAAATGACACATGTAAATAAGTTTCTTAAGGATTCAGTCTTATTACATAAAAATAGGTTAGGTGTTAAAAGAAACATAATATACTCTACTAGAAAGGAATAGGGTGATGAACATTCCATTAAAGATATTCTAGTAAACAATTGACCTGAACAACAGCTCTCTCCCCATCAACTTCCAAAACTTGTCCACGTCGGGTAGATCCATCTCCTAAACGAATATTAACAATCTCCTCATATTTGGGTCCCTGCAACAAAGTATTTATTTGTAAAACTTTTATTAGCACAAACACACAAATAACCATTGTGAAACATTGAAACCTGTGAATAAAAAAGCTAAGCATGAAAACAACAAAAAGTACTGTAATAAAATCACCTTCACTTTATCAAGGATAACCAATGGGCCTGCAACTCCCGAAACCGTTCTATATTCTGCAATGTGCACCAATACAAATCTATATCAACGATTTTATTTGGAGGAGATTCACGTTCCATATCCATGGAATATAAAGAAATTACCCATGCCAATGTCCAGAGTTCCCCCATCCATTTCACCGTTGTCAGCCACCATGCTTTGAACTGAAAATATAACATAAAAGGTTGAATTATACATGTCCAGTATTCATAGCAATAGCTATTTGGTGTATATACTTATCTATTTTGCTATATAAGAGTTTCTTTCTTTCAAATTCGCTTTCTTCTCTTTCAATTCAATTTCAGTGTAACCCTATTTGAAGAAGCAACTTTTAGCCAAACAAATCAATGGGACTAAAAATGTTGATAAAATTAAGAGCGATAAAAGATTATGAAAAATAAATATATTTTTAAAAAAATTAAAAAAAAGCAAATTTCTTGATGTAACATTAAAACTCAAAATGCAGGCATTTGATTTAGAAGAATATCCTAATTTTAAAAAAAATGAAAAAACACAGATTTATGAAAACTTAAAATATACAGGGTAAACAGTATGTTATGAACAAAATATACAAATTCACAAAATTGGAAAAAAGAAGAACAAAGCAGATGCTTATCTGAAACGTAAAAATGAGATCTGCAGAGAGAAATGTTTCATAGACATCGTCCTAAATATAGGGCTAATAGAAGATCTGCAGAGAGAAATGTTTCATAGACATCTTCCTGAATATTTTGACCATAGATCTAAATATTCATCAATTAATGAAACAATCATCCAAGCAATCTTTAGTGATGATATCCATACACAACTTGAACAAAGACTCTTTGATTTTTGTTCGAGAATATATGATCGGTAATGAGTTGAAGCAGCACAGAGTGAAGATAGACCTAGACCTGGACGTGGAAGAAACTGAATAGGATGCAAGAACCAATTGAAGTACCTGGATGTGGGGAGCGTAGACTACGTGAATGAATTTTATATGATGATGATGATGATGATGGTGCCAAAGGGGACCTTTATATTACCTTTGCTGTATGATGCTGGTTAAAGCTAGGAGTAATGGCAACAAGCTCTACCTCTACACCACATTTCCCTCACAACATAATTCTATAGTTTTTCTTCTCTCAATAATTCCATTGTTTCTTAAAAAGCTTTTACTTTATTTTTTTATCTTTTATATAAAACAATTTCACTTTCTATTTTTTTATCCGTATAAATTTTCTTTCCTCCGCTAAGTTTGGCGATAATGCCCAAAAACATTTTTAAAATTTACCTGCAATAAATTTAAATTTCAAATCATACTCTCTTTTGTTGGGAAATATCCCTCATACATGAAGGAAGTGTCAAATTTTAATTGGACAATACTTTAAATTTCTCTTTTATATTTAGGCTTTGTGTGTGTGTAAAGTTTTAGCCCAATTGTATTTTTTATGGTGACCCAATCAACTTATGTGGCTACTAACTAATAAGAAAAAAAAAGAAGAAGATAAGGGAGCATGAAGAGATAAAGAGGCAGCGACAGAAAACCATAGGTAAAGAAGGAGAAAAGAGATTCCTGCCACATTGTGCAGCAACCACTTTTCTTGTCCGGATCGAAGGCCAAACGAAGTTTGATCGTGCTCAAATTTTAGTATGTTGTTCCTTACATACTCCTCTTCAAATCCAATAGTCAGTTTCTCGTATTGATGCCCGGAAGGTGGTTTCCTTGCTGCGTTTTCAGACCTACGTTTTTTTGGGAGTTTTTACTCCATTTTTGGTGAATTGTTGATTGTTGTTGTTCCCAGGTTGCTCCTTGATGATTGTGTTTGCCCCTAGTGTTTACTAGAGAGGAGAACTTGTTGTACCCACTTGGTTATTAGTGATTAGTGGAAGTTTCGGTGCCGTTGTTGAACGATCGTGGTTTTCTCCCCGATTTGGGGTTTCCATGTAAATCTCGTGTTCTTTATTTATTCACGTTGCTATTTATATGTGGTGTTGCTGCTTATTTTTGGAGTATATTAGTCTTTGTTGTTCATCTCATTTATCTGGGGAAAAGATTTTATTCGCTTCCGTTGTGTTTCGTCTGTGCTTCCCCAACACCTTTTTCAAACACAATCTCCTTTTCATTATCTCTTTTAATATTTTTTTCCAACTTTTATATTTATATACTCACACCATGAATTCAAACAATTCTAATTATCCGTATTTTTACAATAATTGTCCCCCTTTTAATCCAAATGGTCTGAACGTTGAGAATTTGTTCGATAATTGTTATCGTCCCAATTTTCATGGATTTGAGTATTGGATTTCATCCCCAAATTATTAGTCGGATGATGAAGAGGATGCGTTGGCTAAAAGTTGGACCGAGTGTCGGAGGATCCAATTCAAGGTATGAATATTATATGGTATTTAAATTTTTTAATTTTTTTACTATTATATTTTTTTCTAAATTTATAACCAACCACCAAAAACTTAATACTCTTTGGGATCATGTCCACAAATAATTTCATCAAAAATGGGGAAAGATAACTATTGTATGGCAGACATGTTAACTAGTAAGTGGCGTGACTTAAAGAAAAATGTCGGCAAGTTCATCGGATACTTCACCTTCCACACAAACAAAAGAAAAAAGTGGGTGGAGTAAGAGGATATCTACGACGTTATGCTTTAAGACTTCAAGCCTCGAGAGGGCTATATTATGCATTTGGTAATACTAGGGCGTAGAAGGTTATGCCGAAATATATGCGTTGTCAAGAAATTCTTATTAAAATACCAAAAATTCAAACAATTTCTCACATGAGCGAAAATTGATTTTGAGGGTCGACAATATCCCATAATTGAAATCCTGCAATGAACAGATAAATGTCTCCACTTTTGAACATGTCCCTTATAAGGTATATCTTCTTTACTGTCTGTTCAGTAGAACGCAATGTCTTTAAATTGTACTAGCGCTTGTGTAAACGATAGTACACCATACACAGGTTCAAATCGAACATCGTTATGTTCTCATAGTTGTACCGATTTTGATCGGGAGACGCGGGCTTGGTTCTACAAAAGTGTCTAAAGGATCAGCGGCCCGAATCATCCATTTGAAACGACCACAGTTCACTCTAACATAAATAATTCTTCTAAGTGTATCTTAATTATATGTTCAAGAATCATTAAAGCATATTTACATGCTAACCTTAATGTTTTCGAAAGTCACTCTCTTAAGCATGAAGTGAAGGGACTGATCAGGGATATCGGCACCGCTAGTGGCAGAGCCAGGAGTAATTTCATTGGGGGCACAAATTATTCGAAAAATAACAAAACATTTTCATGATAGTAACAACTTTTGATAGGTAAAGCATTAATTAACATATCTTTTATTTGTGTAATGGAGGAATATTTTTTTTAGGGTCGTAGAACTTTTTTTCGAGATGTCAACTTTTGAAAGTGTTGCATAATGACTTCATCATTAATGCTCATAAAAATTTCTTTCTCAAAGTAGCACAACATACAATCTGATAATAGCTTATCTCCCAAATGGTTGCGTAAATCAGTCTTGACAATATTCGTTGCTAGAAAAAATCTTTCAATTGAAGTTGTCTCAACATGTAATATCAATGCAAACTCAAGAAGTCGGTATACCAAAGGAAAAAAGTGTGATACTTCATCTCCACCATTTCTTTGCAAGAGTTCCAAGATTGGGGATGTTAACTAATTAGGAGTTTATGGGATCTCATGTCAGAAATGTAATTTTAGAGTTTATGAAGAAGCTCAATTCGATCATTAGAACTGAAATCTTTTGAATATAACACAGAAAGTTCCAATAGTCGATCGGGATCAAAACTCACAAAGCAATTAGAAGGATCAAGACACATTACACATCTTAGTAAATTTGTGTTTGCCTTTGTGAAGTCTATATCCATTTCCATAGCAAGAATATCAATGACCTAACATCAAATAAAGAATAATAATTTTAATTATATCAAATTAAAATACTTCTGAAAAATCATATTAAAATATAAAATTAATAAGAATAATGCACCTTTGAAAAAAGTTTCTACAAAACTGTACATAGTTTGTTATTGGCTCAACATCTTTCATCTTCTTTCTTGATAGGCCAAAAAGAATATATTCCGTGTTAGGCACATCTGTGTCATGTTCTTCACAATATTCACTACTTTCAAAAAGTCATCCCAATCGTAATCTCTAGTATCTTGAAAGTTCTTTTTCATTACACCAATGATATTCAAAGCACAACTAATGTGTTTGATCACTTGCTTGTAGCATCTTTGATAAAGTATTAGTCGTACCTAGATCTTTTAACATGAAGTTTTCATAAAAAATGAACTCAAAAGAAAGCATTTTATCAATATTACCACCGACACTATTTTGAATTCTGGTTGTTTCACCATGCTTGTGTAAGGAATTTAACATTGTACCAATAGTATTCCACATATCAAAAAGAAAAAACAAGTGTTTTGTAGTGAGGGTCCCAACGTGTATCACCTGGTGGAGCTATACATGTTGCTTGGTTTTGCCCCTTACCAGCCGACAATTTACTTGTTATATGTGATGCAAAGTTTCCTCCTCGTGTACTTCAAGAAGAAATTCATTCTGTTTTCATGAGGATCAAACTGTAATAACAAACATCAAAAGCTTTTTTTTAAAAACTAAATATGCTCTCCCTATCCTGTGCAACAGCTGTATTAACTAAGTGAAATTGGTGGGCAAAACAATAAACATAGTATGCATTCTTGTTTTTATTAAGAATAGAAAATATTATCTAGAATAATCTCAACTTTATCCAGTCTTTAAAAAATAATTCCACATTTTACTGTAATCCCAACTTTACTCAAATTTGTGAGTTTTGGGTCGCCGTTACATTGCTAATAGCTGGTTAACGGAACCTACTTTGTGCAATAAAATGAAAGTTGGATTATTTTTTATGAAATTTTATTTTTAATTTTTTAAATGAAAATTCTCTTAAATTTTTAAAATGACTTTGTACCTCCATCATTTCTTTTTATTTTTTTAAAGATTAGTCTGACATTTGAAAAAAATACAAAAATAGATATACGAAATAATGAAAATCAGAAAATTTATTTTTTTATCAATAAGATTTCAATAGGGTTTTTTATTAATAGGAGTTTGATAGTATGATAATAGTATAGATGTACAAATGGTGATTGTATGATGGTGATAGTGTGATGCGGGATCACCGGTCAACCGTGCAAAGGACCGGCGACCATCCATACTTTGGTGACAGTATATTGGGCCTCCAATGGCACTGTAGTAGTAATGTGCAATGTCAAATAAAGTGGCCATATAAAATTTTATTTAGATACGGAGTAACAAAACGATTACTACTCTTATTTAGATATTCCTTTCGTCCTTAAATCATTTGCTCTTTACATAAAACAAAGTAAAATTTTAATTTTTTTCAATTCATTTTATTTAAATATTAGAATATAAATAAAAAATAAAATTTACATATTTAAAAAGTACATAAAAAATTCTATAAAATAAGAGGTGATAAGAAAATTTTATTTCACTAAATAGTCAATGAAAACACACAAATAAACAAAAGTTCTTGTGATTTTTGAATAATGAAATCTATAAATCATTTAAATACAGAAAATTTTCATTTTCTTTTAGGTTTCGTTTGGTACAGAGATTTGATAAAATTGGAATTGAATTCGGACTTCAAATTCTATGAAATTGATTTTGATGGAATTCAATTGTCTAGTTTCCATTCATTTTTGGCATTACCAATTCGAAATCCACATATTTTTGTGCTACCAAACAGTAAAATTAAAATTATTGCGTCCAATTCTAATTCTTTAGTTTCAATTTCATGTACCAAACGGAAACTTATACTAGTCTTCTCCTGCTATACAATTAAAATTTTTGGCGGGTCCGACTCAGCACGGAGTCGTCCGTTCAAATGACTTGAGGTTGAGCTCTCAATCGCCTTTTTTTATTTTCGCCAGCCGAAAAAGGAGGGGAGGAGCCAACTTTGTTGAGGCAAGGCGTCATCCTCTTCCCCCCTTCTGGCATATGAAAAAAACTGATCATATCACATCCGATCGCAGTGGCATTGTTAATCCCGGTGAGCCTCTGCGCTCGGCGGCCGGAGTGCAGCGTGTTCCGAGAATCTAGCTTTATTTAACCGGTATGGCGTACCGGAGGAGGCAGGGGGTCACGAGATCATCCACATTCAAGGAGGATTTTCGTCGGTCTTCTCCAGATGATGTCGACGAGGCTTCTGCGTCTTCTCCTATGCTTGCGGATCGCGGGTCCTCCTCCCTCTCCCCGCTTATTCTCAGTCCGCCTACCGCGATCGATCTAAGGTTCCCTTTTGGATCTATTCTCATTTCATACTTTCATTCATATACACGACATATCGATTCCTCCTTACGGTCTGTTTCTTATGTTTTACAGCATTCAATTTCTCCCCAAGTCTGTGTACAATATGACATTTTCCTTTAATTTCTTTTATGATCTATTATAAACATACATTTATTATTTCTCCACCGCTTGATACAGTGACATGCCATTTCTTTTTTTGGAAGATTATTACTATGTCTTGTAATTTCTATATGTAAGTAAATTCTAGGGAGTAATATGTTCTAGTAAAATTGGTAGGTATCCCACTTCTTTATGCAAATAGATATTCTTCAACCCAATGAATAGATCCGTGAGATCAAAGTTCACCTAGAGAAATTCTTGTATCTAAAAAACTTCATTAATCACTGAGAGCATCGGAGTATAATATATTGACATACTGTGTTGGGTATATAGTAGTATTAATTGCTGT